CGAAAATTCAGACTTGTGTAGTCATAATCACATTGAGCTGGAAGGGCAGCGAGTGATCAGCAAGTGCCATGGAGGTGGAAATTCAGCAACTGATTCAGGACAATGCTAGCTGTGGTGTTGTGATTATTTATACAGATAGTTCAGTGTCAAGAGGCAAAAAAGTGCTTGGGTGTTCTATGGTCGAAGACTGGTCCAGGAAATCCTAGCATATGATAACCACAACATCGAGCTTAAGAATGGAGGTGAAAGCGGTAGCTTTCCGCTGGCTGGAGAACAGAACTACACTCACAATCTTGATTGTAACTGACTCAGAAAGTATGCTGAAGAAGGAAATGACAGGCATGTTGAGGAAGGTCATGACAGGCATACTGAGGAAGGTTATGACAGGCATGCTGAGGAAGGTTATGACAGGCATGCTGAGGAAGGTTATGACAGGCATGCAGAGGAAGGTTATGACAGGCATGCTGAGGAAGGTAAGTAACAGGCATGTTGAGGAAGGTTATGACAGGCATGCTGAGGAAGGTTATGACAGGCATGCTGAGGAAGGAAATGACAGGCATGTTGAGGAAGGTAAGTAACAGGCATGCTGAGGAAGGTTATGACAGGCATGCTGAGGAAGGTTATGACAGGCATGCTGAGGAAGGTTATGACAGGCATGCAGAGGAAGGTTATGACAGGCATACTGAGGAAGGTTATGACAGCATGCTGAGGAAGGTTATGACAGGCATGAGGAAGGTTATGACAGGCATGCTGAGGAAGGTTATGACAGGCATGCTGAGGAAGGTTTATGCTGAGGAAGGTTACGACAGGCATGCAGAGGAAGGTTATGACAGGCATGCTGAGGAAGGTTATGACAGGCATGCTGAGGAAGGTTATGACAGGCATGCAGAGGAAGGTTATGACAGGCATGCTGAGGAAGGTTATGACAGGCATGTTGAGGAAGGTTATGACAGGCATGCTGAGGAAGGTTATGACAGGCATGCTGAGGAAGGTAATGACAGGCATGCTGAGGAAGGTAAGTAACAGGCATGTTGAGGAAGGTAAATGACAGGCATGCAGAGGAAGGTTATGACAGGCATACTGAGGAAGGTTATGACAGGCATACTGAGGAAGGAAATGACAGGCATGTTGAGGAAGGTTATGACAAGCATGTTGAGGAAGGAAATGACAGGCATGTTGAGGAAGGTTATGACAGGCATACAGAGGAAGGTTATGACAGGCATACTGAGGAAGGTTATGACATGCATGTTGAGGAAGGTCATGACAGGCATGTTGAGGAAGGTCATGACAGGCATGTTGAGGAAGGTTATGACAGGCATGCTGAGGAAGGTAAATGACAGGCATGCAGAGGAAGGTTATGACAGGCATACTGAGGAAGGAAATGACAGGCATGTTGAGGAAGGTTATGACAAGCATGTTGAGGAAGGAAATGACAGGCATGTTGAGGAAGGTTATGACAGGCATACTGAGGAAGGTTATGACAGGCATGTTGAGGAAGGTCATGACAGGCATGTTGAGGAAGGTCATGACAGGCATGTTGAGGAAGGTTATGACAGGCATGCTGAGGAAGGTTATGACAGGCATGCTGAGGAAGGTTATGACAGGCATGTTGAGGAAGGTCATGACAGGCATGTTGAGGAAGGTTATGACAGGCATACAGAGGAAGGTTATGACAGGCATACTGAGGAAGGTTATGACAGGCATGTTGAGGAAGGTCATGACAGGCATGTTGAGGAAGGTCATGACAGGCATGTTGGAAGGTTTATGACAAGGCATACAGAGGAAGGTTATGACAGGCATGCTGAGGAAGGTTATGACAGGCATGTTGAGGAAGGTCATGACAGGCATGTTGAGGAAGGAAATGACAGGCATGTTGAGGAAGGTTATGACAGGCATACAGAGGAAGGTAAATGACAGGCATGCTGAGGAAGGTTATGACAGGCATGCTGAGGAAGGTTATGACAGGCATGTTGAGGAAGGTTATGACAGGCATACAGAGGAAGGTTATGACAGGCATGTTGAGGAAGGTTATGACAGGCATGCAGAGGAAGGTTATGACAGGCATGTTGAGGAAGGTTATGACAGGCATGTTGAGGAAGGTTATGACAGGCATGTTGAGGAAGGTCATGACAGGCATGCTGAGGAAGGTTATGACAGGCATGCTGAGGAAGGTTATGACAGGCATGCTGGGGAAGGTTATGACAGGCATGTTGAGGAAGGTTATGACAGGCATGCTGAGGAAGGTTATGACAGGCATGCTGAGGAAGGTTATGACAGGCATGTTGAGGAAGGTCATGACAGGCATGTTGAGGAAGGAAATGACAGGCATGTTGAGGAAGGTTATGACAGGCATGCAGAGGAAGGTCATGACAGGCATGCTGAGGAAGGTTATGACAGGCATGCTGAGGAAGGTTATGACAGGCATGTTGAGGAAGGTTATGACAGGCATACAGAGGAAGGTTATGACAGGCATGTTGAGGAAGGTTATGACAGGCATGCAGAGGAAGGTTATGACAGGCATGTTGAGGAAGGTTATGACAGGCATGTTGAGGAAGGTTATGACAGGCATGTTGAGGAAGGTCATGACAGGCATGCTGAGGAAGGTTATGACAGGCATGCTGAGGAAGGTCATGACAGGCATGCTGAGGAAGGTCATGACAGGCATGCTGAGGAAGGTCATGACAGGCATGTTGAGGAAGGTCATGACAGGCATGCTGAGGAAGGTTATGACAGGCATGCTGAGGAAGGTCATGACAGGCATGCTGAGGAAGGTCATGACAGGCATGTTGAGGAAGGTCATGACAGGCATACAGAGGAAGGTAAATGACAGGCATGCAGAGGAAGGTAAATGACAGGCATGCAGAGGAAGGTTATGACAGGCATGCTGAGGAAGGTCATGACAGGTATGCTGAGGAAGGTCATGACAGGCATGCCTAGGAAGGTCATGACAAGCATGCTGAGGAAGGTCATGACAGACATGCTGAGAAAGGTTATGACAGGCATGCTGAGGAAGGTCATGACAGGCATGCTGAGAAAGGTCATGACAGGCATGCAGAGGAAGGTAAGGACAGGCATGCAGAGGAAGGTCATGACAGGCATGCCTAGGAAGGTAAATGACAGGCATGCAGAGGAAGGTAAATGACAGGCATGCAGAGGAAGGTAAATGACAGGCATGCAGAGGAAGGTAAATGACAGGCATGTCGAGGAAGGTGAGGACAGGCATATACTTTGTAGGTATTTAAATTCGTGTACTTGTCTGACTGTATACTGTAAAAAATAAAAAACAAACAAAAAAAAACGCATAGTTATCTAATGGCGCATTTTTATTAGTTTGTAAATAAAATGTTGTACTCGGGTATGTGAAAAGCAGACTCAAATGTTGTTTACCATGTCCACTGGACATGTGGGCATGAATTGCATAGGTTTTTGTAATCGTTACAATGCAGTGGTCAATTGTGTTTTAGACCATATTTGCGAGCATCGCTCACCAACACGCTGTTAGGCTACTATTTTCGATTTCCAACTGCCAAGGGATTTTTGTATATGTGCAATAATACACATGGGCGCCTGGTCTTACTACCCAGAGATCAGGGGCAACTACTAAAAGTCTATGTGAAAAAATCCCAGCCTTCACTAGGGCCTGAACTCAGGACCTCCTGCACTCAAGGCAGACACCATGCCTCGAGACCACTCAGCATAGACGAAATGAAGGTTTAGCCCAAAACTGTGTTGATGAAGCTCTGCTGCATGGTGGTGGAGGTGTAATGGTGTGGGGAATGATCAGTTACAACGGAAGGAGTTAATTGGTGCACATTGCAGGAAGCTTGGATACGCAACGATACTTCCATGAAATTCTTCGACCACATGTCCTTCAATTTTGGGATGCCAACAGATATCTTTTTGAACAGGACAATGCCAGACCCCATTCTGCATGGCTGAACATGCAGTTCCTGGCTGCCAATAACATTCAAACCCTTCCCTGTCTGCAGAGTCTGGTTGAGCATATATGGAATGAGCTGCAAAGACGTGTTTCACCGAGACATTGCTCCAGCCATTGGTCATGATCTGTTTCAGGCACTCCAGGAAGAGTGGGCAGCCATCCCACAGGCCCACATCAGACATCTGATTGCATCCATGCCAGTTACTGATCCAGGCAAGAGGAGGCCACACACCATACTAACGGGAAAGGCTTATGCCTAAACATTAATGTGACCCAGATGCAAAAAAAAGGTGTCAATTGATTGGTGGAACCCTACAGTATTTTTGTGTGAAAGTTGAGTAGTTTCACTTACTGCACTACAAAGATGCAGAATGTCAAAAATATGAGTATGTATGTTCCTTTCAAGAAACTACGCGTTTCCTTTTTTTGAACATAGTATAGTACTACTGATATGAACATTCATGGATTTTGATTCCAGACTATTCTCATTACCTCAGTTTTCATAGTGTTTATATGTCACATTTTGTGCAGTTATAATACAAGGAATCAAGACGGTGTTGCAGGTTCCATTCTTGTTGGCATATCAGACAATGATCATATGCAAAAAGCGGTTCTTTGATTTCTCAAATGTATATAATTGCCTCCTGTGTAATTCCTTCCATATAAGAAATTACAAGCAATGGCGAGAGGACACATCCTTGTCTGACACCTGATGTGGTAGTTTCTTCTTTGTTCTTACTGTAAACTATCTTGATACAGAACCATAATATTAAACAACAGTTCACTATTTTTAAATACCATATTCTTGTAGATGTTTTGGTTTGAAGTATTCAAATAAGAACTCTTTTGGACAAAAGAAGCTAAAATTAATTGTGGGGTCATATGAGTAAATGTAACAGCTCACAAGAGTAGAGTGGATTCAGCAAAGAAAACCCTACCAGGAGTAAGTAACAGATGCAGGGTGATTTGCTTGGCATGGAATAAGAAGTAAATATAACAACTGCAGTTTAGGAGATTTTGCACTAAAACTACCCTTGCAATAGATATTTAAGGTTAATACTTCTCTCCTTATTGTAGAAATCTCAAAAGGGTCTCCATATTTATCTCCAGAGGATTGAATCTTCTGTGCTGTGCCAAAATGTCTAGCAGGTCCATTGTCCATGATGATCTAAAAGATATAACAAATCTGCTGGTGAGAAATTATTATTACAGGTATTTCTGTATTTCTGAACAGGTATTAACTTATCCAGATTCAATACTGTGTGTAAACTGCAACTTAATTTTTTCAATACCTCTTGTTATAATCATGCAAAATGATTTGAATAATTGCAATAGTACTGTCTAGACACACATCATTTCATTTTGCCAATGTAATGAAAACAAACAATTAAAAAAAAATTACCAGAAATTTGTTTATCATAATAAAAAAAAATTAAAAAATGGGCGGACAGAGAAGAAAGCAACAACTGAGGCTTGACAGCTAGAGGCATCAGACTGTCCATCAAACTAGCTATACAAGAAAAGGAGAAGTGATATTTATGGGGTAGGACAGCAGTTGAAATTTAGTTGATAAATTAGCCTTATGTGGTGAAATGACTAGGCAAAGAGGAAGCATGAGAAATGCATGTAGTCTGGGCAGCAAATTTATATACCCACACACACACATACACACGCGTACCCACACACAAACACGCCTGCGTGCGCATGCATGAACATACACACACAAGTATCAGCGAGGCACCTGAAAAAAGTCCCTCCTGGATGGCAGAGGTTGAAAATATAATTCGGCGGATATGCGATCTGAATGGAGGGATATACTCATCTGCATGTATAATACTCTACTGTTGTCATCACACTAGGGAGGTTTTGCTAAAACCAGAATCCCATTGCACTGACACCACGATATGGGCACTGATAGATCAACGTTCCTGTCAAGAAGACATCCTCATCTTAAAGATGGGTCTGTGAAACATGGGTCAAGGTCAGCATGGGCATTCACAGCATAAAGGATGGGGAAATCAATAACAGACGATAGTCATCAAGCATGACCATAACAGTTACATCCAGAGCACTCGCATGGGCAGAAAAACAGGCAATCATACATGAAGTGATCATTTAAAACTTCATCAACATGCTTCATAAAATTGCAACAGGCAGCCTGAGCTCTGAATGAGAAGACAGAATTTTAAAGTCACCCTTAACTCCCTTACCTGCATATACACACCTTAGCATGTCAGAGTAAAAGGTAATGAACAAGTGGACCAGCTGGCAAGTAATGCACCACAAGAAGTTGCATGGAGAGAGCACATATCATCAATGCCATACAGACTAGACTAGACAGTAATAAATCTCTGAAGTAAACACGACTGCATAAACTCAGAGTGAAGCCTGGTGAAGAATATCGGTGCCATCTTTAAGGTCAAGATATGGGACAATATAACCAACTTCCTATGGAACAGACATCAGAGGTACTGTATTTTTAGGGGATGGCTGTTGTATTGGAAGACTGAGCAGGCCTGGGAATGCCCAATGTGCAGTGACTTGACTGTAATAACATAACACACACACACACATACATATAAAATGAAATAGAGCTTAGAGAGTCATAATCACCAAGAAGAAGAAGAAGATAATCACCAATGTTTGCTTAGAGGAATGACTGAATGAATGATCAAGAACTAACATCACTGCACTCGGGACATTCCCATATATGCTCCGTCCTTCTTCAGCAACCAACGAAGAGTCGACATGCTAATATGAGGCACATTTTTTAAGTAAGTTCTGTTTTGACTGCACCAACAAACACCAATGGAAAACATAAATGTGCATATGCAGTATGTTAATTTGGTTCATTATCTAGCTGTGTGCTATTTTTTTTGTCACTGTGGAAACCTTGAATGATGTTACGCTTGAATGATTTATAATGAGTGCAAAAATAAATACTCCTACCAGCTGTGAGGTTCATGCTGTGACCTGTTTTTTATTGGCAAAAACAGTGCTGCAAAATTCACAGACCACTCACTGAGGTTTACGGGCAAGATTTTATTACTGATAGTATGGCTAGCCTGGGGTAAGAGCCTATCCTACTACTAGGCGCGTCCACCAAGTGGCGGATGGTAGAAAGGCCTCTAGATATAGAGGTTAGCCACGAATATATTGAATAAGTGGCCGTGGACCAAAACAGGTGATGGTCATTGAGAGGAGGCGAGTTAGTTGGTGGGATAGCTAACTCTATAAAATACCTCAAAACTCTACGACATGGCCATCGGCGGGTAAGAGACTCTATAACCTCTCCCCCCTGCTGCCTTGCAGGGTAAGTCTCTTTAGACAAAGGCTATTGGAGTCAAACCATATACAAACCGGCGAAAGGCAAGGGGAAACCACCGCTGTACTATCCCAAGAAAATCATGCCTCAAAATAATAAGTATTCAGATAACTACGTGAATGGGGATTCCAGTGGAATCACCTCGTCCGGTAGGGAGCATCATGTTCTACAGGTGATACCCGACCTCATCCAGCTACTGTAGAAGAAGTAAATGGTAGAAACATCATGAACATTGGTACATGGAATGTCAGAACACTCGTACAAAACGGAAAGTTGGATAATATCAAGATGGAAATGAAGAGAATGAACATCAATTTATTAGGAATTAGTGAAATGCGATGGTCAGGAGCAGGTGAAAAGTATTCAGATCAGTACAGAATTATTTACTCGGGTGGGAAGGAATATAGTAAGGGAGTTGGTATTATTTTGGATCAAAAGAACTCAAAAACTGTGAAAGGATTTTGGACAATATCAGATAGAGTACTATTAGTAAAACTTCGCGGCAGACCGTTTGTCATCAACTTAGTACAGATTTATGCCCCAACAGCGGATAGTTCAGAAGAAAATATTGATGCATTTTATGACGAGTTACACATGGCTGTTGATAAATGCAAAAATTGTGAAGTAACAATGGTACTTGGAGATTTCAACGCGAAAATAGGAAGTGAAAAAGTGTTTAAAACACCATCCTCGAAGATTATGGACTTGGAAAAGTCCTGGTGATAATGTCCGCAATCAGATTGATTACATTTTGATTTCAAGAAGATTCCCGAGCAGCTTAGTTGGAGCAAAAACTAGACCAGGAGCAGACTGCTTCAGTGACCATGTTCCAGTTGTAGGAAAAATTAGAATAAAACTAAAGAACATTAGAAAAACACCACAGAACCTCAAGTTAAATTTAGGAATTCTTAGAACGGATAAAGAAATTAAGGACCAGTACAATGTCACTGTACAAAACCGGTATAATGCAATGGAAATTATACAGACTATTGATGAACAGTGGGATATGTTGCGTGAGTCAATTCAGCAGACATCTAAAGAGACAATCCCACCAACCCATAGAGTTGCAAACAAGAAATGGATGTCAACCAAAATTCTGCAGTTGATGGATGAAAGAAGGAAGAAAAAGAATGATAAAGAAGAATACTCTAGAATACAAAAAGAAATAGGGAACAAATGCAAAGTGGCTAAAGAAGCCTGGCTGAATCAACTGTGTACAGAGATTGGGGAAAACAACAGGAAAGACTCACATTCCATGTACCAACAGATAAATATGTTAACAGGAAAGATGACACGTAACAGCACTGGATGTTTGAAATCAAAAGATGGTGACTTATTAATGGGACATAGTAGTATAATTAACAGATGGACAGAGTATATAGGGGAATTGTATGATGATAATAGGCCAGATGTAGAACTGCAGACCAACAATGATGGTCCACCAATAATGACTACAGAAGTTGAGGATGCAATACATCATATGAAGAAAGGAAAAGCATCCGGGCCAGACAACATCTCACTGGAAGAAATCAAAGCACTGGGAGATTCTGGAATTGAAATAATAACTAAACTTTTAAATGATATTTATAATAGTGGGTATATTCCAAATGACCTTTTAAAATCCATATTTAAAGCTCTGCCTAAGAAACCAGGCACTATAAAATGTGAAGACCATCGCACAATAAGTCTTATGAGTCACATGACTAAGATCTTACTGAGAATAATTATGAGAAGAATAAGAAACAAAATTAAACCAGAAATCAGCGATGAACAATGTGGATTTGTAGAAGGAAAAGGTACAAACAATGCCATATACATCCTAAGGACATTGTCAGAAAGAGCTATAGAAGTAAAGACTGATTTGTACATATGCTTCATAGACAATACAAAAGCATTTGACTGTGTGAAGCATGAAGAAGTAATCAAACTGTTAGAAAAATTAAACATTGATGGGAAAGATCTACGAATAATAAAGAATATGTATTGGCAGCAAACAGCAGCTATAAGAATTAACAACTGTTTAGGTGCATTTCAAAGCATAAAGAGGGGCGTACGACAAGGATGTGTACTGTCACCTGATTTATTTTCAATATACAGTGAATATATAATGAGAGCTTTAATTGGTATCCCCGGAATTGTGGTTGGTGGGCACAATATAAACAATTTACGTTATGCTGATGACACAGTCTTGATAGCAACAAGTCAGAAAGAACTACAGGAAATGATAGACATTGTGGTGTTAGAAAGTGGAAGAATGGGCCTCAGTTTGAATAATGGGAAGACAGAAGTAATCAAAGAAATGAATTATTCCTAAGTGTGGAATAAAAGTTGATGGTGTTATTTTAGGACAAGTACAGAAATTTAAGTATCTGGGCACATGGATAACATCAGATGGAAGATGCATAACTGAAATAAGAAACAGAATAAGTAAAGAAAAAAAGTAAAGATCCCTTACACGCCCTTAGGCGCATCGGGCATATGGGAAGAGCACCCATATTTTACAGACCAATCGGCACTCGGTGGGTAATGTGGTCAGCATTACGCCGGCCATCTTTACTTTCCCAGGACAGCCCATCCTGGTACACATTTGAGGCTGGGTCAACCTGCGACGTCCCATACCACGATAAAAATCCACGCAGCCCGCGGTGGGTTTCGATCGAAGAAACAGAATAGGACAGGCAAAAACTGCATTTTATAAAATGAAAAACATCTTGTGCAATATATCCTTGTCACTGAGAGTTAGAAAAAGAATACTTGCTTGCTACATACATCCAGTTTTAACATATGGCTATGAATCCTGGACAATCGGTAGGCAGGCCAAACAATTTCTGGAGGCCTCGGAGATGTGGTTTTACAGAAGAATGCTTAGAATACCTTGGACAGCCAAAAAGAGCAACCAAGAGGTTTTGAAAGAGGCGGGAGCCCGAAGACAACTTATCACAGACATCAGAAGGAGACAGTCATAATTTTTCGGCCATGTTATGAGAAGAGGGAAAATAGAACATGTTGTGACCACTGGAAAGATATGTGGAAGGAGAGATAGAGGAAGACAACGAGAGAAGATGCTTGACAGTCTTGTTGCATGGCATGGAGGTGTGTCGGCACACAAACTGATACATGCTGCAGGAAATCGCAGATTATGGAGAGGCATGATCGCCCATGCCAGTCGGCAAGGCACCTGATGATGATGATGAGTATGGCTAGGAAATGGTGTCAAATATTTAAAGAAGGGAGAACAAATATCCACATGATGAAGAATGTAGCGGTCGGCTAATTGTGGTGACAGATGATTTGGTTCAAGAAATGAACCAACAAATTTAGGAAAATTGACGTTTCACAATTTATGCGTTGTCTGTTGAATTTTCTGAAGTTTCACGTTCACTGATTTACGACACTCTGACAAAAAAATTGAATTTAAAAAAAAATATGTGCCAGATGGGTACCAAAAATGTTGACCAATGAACACATGCAGAAACATCTGGCTTTGGCTCAAAACGTTTTGCAACACTTTCCAAATGAAGATGAATTTCACTGGGAAACTGTTGACCACCCGCCCTACAGCCCCAATCTGGCATCAAGTGATTACCACCTTTTCATGCACCTAGAGAAGTGACTGGCATCCAAGCGGTTTGAAACTGATGATGAACTGCAGACAGGCATTAATGAATGGTTCAAGACACTAGCGTGGCAGACTTCTTTTACATTGGAATTAAGAGCCTGGTGCCACAATACCAAAAATGTGTTGAAGTCAATGGTGACTACGTTGAGAATTAAGGTAAATGTGCGGCTGCTGCAATAAATCCTTTTTATATACAATGTTGTTTAAAATTTTTTTAAATACCAGGACTTACTTAAAAAAAAGCGCCTAGTAGTACCAGCTGCAACCTGATTAAAAGTCCATCTCTGTTTCCCCTCTCAGTCTTGAATATCCTCAAGAACCTCTACTACCCCCCCCCCCCTTTCCCGCTGAATTCATCATTCAATGCAAGGATTCTCTATCTGTTCTATTGCACTGTCAATTTGATCCCTGAGAGCCTTTACCATGTCTGCTTTATTATAAAGTAGCTCAGCACCCAGAGGAGTGGCAGCAGCTAATCTATCAGCCTACTCGTTTATCTTTCCATGCAACACAACCTATTATTATATTTACACATCTCTCAAGGCTGCAATCAGGTGTTAGCACAATATAGTAAGGCTGATCATGCATAAATTAACAATGAGAACGCTTGTATATCAGGCTTGTTTTCTCAGCACTCTGCTTTATGGCAGAGAAACTTGGTCACATTATTCGCACCTTCTATAAACAGAATAATAATATTAAGAAATGGATAAATAGTGTAAAAGGGGGGGGGGGGGGGGGAATGGGTGGTCTGCCTCAAGTGCTAGAGGTCCAGGGTTCAGGCCCGAGTGAAGGCTGGGAATTTTGCATGTGAACTTCTAGTAGTTTCCCCTGGTCTCTTGGTAGTAAGATCGGTCGCCCCTGTGTATTGTTGCGCATGAGAAAAAAAATCCCTTGACAGTTGGAAATTGAAAAGAGTAGCCTAACAGCACTGCCCAGGCAAAATTTGGAGTTAAATTTCTACCAAAAGTATTTCAGGATCCTCGCCGGTGCTACAGAGTTCGTGCACTGTCTTGAGATTCTTCAGACCCAGGCCTGAGTCAGAAGTAGAACGGAGCTTATTGGTTACTACTCATGTGACATGATGTTGATCCATTGTTCAAACCTAATCGGAAACCTAATTCACACAAGGAGAAACACTATATAACTTTCATATGTGATGCCTTAGAAGAATACTTGGCATTAAATGGCAGGACAAGGTCACAAACACTGAGGTAGTGGAAAAGGTATTACAACTGTTTTCTCAAAGCTTAGTCTTTGAAGGCTCGGGTGGCTGGGTCACACCTGGAGAATGGCAGAGTCCTTGAGGACTTGGTGAACTGAAGATGGGTAGAAGATGTCAAAGCCGACCTCTACTACAATATAAAGATGTGTGCAAGAAGAACATGAATGATACATGTACTGAGGTGGGCTCATTGGAACAACATGCCATGGACCATGTTGTGTGGAGACAGCATATCAGAAATGGAATGAGAATGAAGAAATATATGACAGCAGAAAGGATGAGAGTTGAGCGTATGAGATAAAACACCCTAAACACAAATGCTGACAACAACAGTCCTGAAATCGCATACTATAATTGTGGAAGACTTTTCTTAACACTGGCGGGTCTTGCTTGTCACACTTGCCATCGCCATGGAAAGAGGGAATAGTGCCAATCTCAACAACAACAAAAAGTGAAAAATAAACCCAACTCACAGAATAATCTGGTCCCATTGCTCTAATTGCATGTCCTGTTAGAGTGGCAATTGTAAATAACTCAGGGTTGACTGATTCCAGGGCCTGTATGTAAGATAATGGGATAGTTGTCACTTTATGATAATATGATAATACAGAAAATTATTAACTTAGTAAAGGCAACATATAAAGACATGAAATGTCGAGTTCTTCATGAGGGGAAAAAAGATGCATCTAAAAAAAAAAAACAACCTAGGTGTGCACCATGGTGCTGTCATTTGTTGCCTGCACTATTTTTACTGCAATAGACTGGCTGGCCTATAAAGACATTATTAATATTTTTAATTCTAATGTCAAATCAGTACTGCTGTATGGAGGGAAAACATGGAGAACAACTTAAGCAATTACTAATAAATTACAAACATTCAATAACTGGTGCCTGCACAGAATAGAGGGAATTTGATGGTATAATAGAATTAATAATTGCAAGTTGAGGAGAGAACTAAAAAAAATGTCAGTGAATCAAGAGGAGAAGTAGAGATGAAGACAGCACTGAACATAGCTCCAGTGATGATCACATCGGCATCTTGGTTTTTTTGTGGCCGCTTTGCCGGTGAGGGTTTTTATTTCCGTGAAATGTGACTTCAGATATCTGCATATAATGAATTGAAGACCAGTTGTTGACAGAATGTATGGAAATTTAATGACCAGCTGTTGACCGAATGTATGGAAATTTAATGACCAGTCGTTGACAGAATGTATGGAAATTTAACGACCAGTCGTTGACAGAATGTATGAAAATTTAACGACTAGTCGTTGACAGAATATGTGGAAATTTAACGACCAGTCGTTGACACGGATGCCAAGGTCAATTATAAAATATTTCATCAAGTGATGAATTTCAAATCCTTCGGAGAGGAAGAGAGAAGTAGTCAGTGGATTGGGTAGGGGACAGGAGGGGATGGGGAGGGGAGGGGGTGATAACAGAAACTATTAACTGAGAGAGCTTAAAACATGATTTTAAAGTTTTCATTTCTTACTTGTTTATATTTTACTAACTTTAACTCAGCTATTCTCATTTTTATTTATATAGATTTTTTCTAAAATTGCGAATTAGTTGGTTATTTAGAAGTACAGTAGTAAGCTTTACTTTCAGCTCTTTACAAATTGCAAACAGCTTTTGGTCCTAATATTACAATTTACACAACCATTAATACAAAGACGCAATTATATTTTGCGTGTTTTAGAGTCAGCAACCCAGACTATCTCTTGATCTGTGCAGACAATGATTGCGAAATTAACCTAAATAGACACATGTTGTTTCTATCTTCTTTCATTTCCGTTTAGCCAAACTAAGCCCCAGTATGAAATAAAATAAGCATTAAAAAAAGTAATAACAAAATTAAATTAAAAACAATGTGACAACAGTAAAACTGTCTGCATGAAGGTCTGCCAAACATTGAGGTATTAAGGAATGGCTATGTTATTTTATATTATCAGCTTGATTCAATCTCTTATCAGTACTAGTTATGGATCAATAACATTTGTATTTCTACTACTCTTTTATTTCTGCTATTATTATTTATTATCCCCATTACTTTTATGACTATTTTTTAAAATTTCCTTTATATATCCAAGTTATCCCCTGGTGGAATGCTATTTTATTTTATTTTGAAGCCCCATCCAGGCTTCTGCCGGGGGCCCTAAATATAGCTGGGGCATAAAATGTTGAATTAAGAATCGACATTACAGCACTCGGGACACTCACATAAGCACTCTGTCCCCATCTTCAGCAGCAAGCGAAGAGTTAAAATTCCGATGGTACCAGTAACAGTCTGAATGTATATCCGTCTCGCCCCTCCCCCAAGTGTCGAGCGTCGGCCAGATCCCCTTGTAACTCCTCACAGTGCTATTCTCCTCAGTCTGTAATGATCTATCTGTTCCTCGGCACTGTTCACTCGCTCCCAAAGGGCCCTCACAACATCCAGCGTGTCATATATCAGTTCACCACCAAGTGGTGCACAACCGGCCAGTCTATCCGCCTGCTCATTTCTCAAAACACCTGCGAACCTGGAGAAAAAATCAAAAGGATGCTAACTACCCGATACCTCTGAAGTGATGCCACTGTGCACGGAGCATGCCTGTCTCCACCCTTCTCAGCATGCTCTGTGAGTCAGTTACAATGACGAAATGTGTGTACAGCTGATTTTCAAGCCAACGGAAGGCAGCAGTGACTAGATGTTGTGATATCATATGCCAGGCTTTGTTGCGCCAAGCGATGTCCATTCGCCTTCGCTATGAACCCCCATGCACTTCGTCTGCCCCTCACCAGAGCCTTCTGTATAAATACAATCACATCACTTGGGCGGGAATTGTACCCGGGGCATAGATATGGCCTAATGGCTCAAAGGGGTTTCTGGAACCTCTCCACGGGCAATCCTCATCCGCATGGTGGCACTTTGTGTTACCAGGTGTTTATCGTTTGTGTGATGTCCTTGTAGGGTACAATTACCTACCTAACTACCATCCCTTATTTTTTTAAATACTCATTCTACATCACTTTTTTTGTAGTTTCTCATGTGACCCCCTGTTGGGCGCTGTGACTGAAGTACCCTTTGTTACTGTTGTATAGTTAGTTCATATCAAGAAGGAGCTTTTTAGTCATAGTTCTTCTTCAGAAGAAAATGAGAAGATACCAAAATGATAAATTTGTTCCTTAGTTATTTTTAAACAGATGAAGATGAACTTACAGGCAATGGAGTACACTTAACAGAATAGAAGAATAACTTTTTCACCTAACCCCAACGGCAGTATGTGCCATGGGACTACCCTTTATGATTGACACTTAAACGAAAACTGTAAAAAAAAAAATGTCATTAAAAGTCCTTTTTTTAAATAATTAACCCGACCACAACCTGAGGCCCTGAATTTAACTCCACTGTCCCCTATACCTGAGCTCCCTGGGCCACACATTAAGCGAAAAAAAAAAAAAAAAAAAAAAAAAAAAAAAAAAAAAAAAAAAAAAAAAAACAAAAAAAACAAACATGATGAATATACAATAATCATTACATGCCAACAAGTGGCTAGAATAAAGATGAAACTTTGGAGACATGTTGAAAATAAGCTTATCTTGTATCTAGAGCCAATATTCCATCCTTTGGTGCCAATCCCACTCAGGGGGGATCAGTATTGTTTCACAAAGTGAGCACCAGATGTTGCTGTTTGAGGGACACACCCCCTTCTCTTACTACCGATCAATTTCTAGATTTATAATTTTCAAGATTCTCTTCATTATTCAAGCTGGAATGTGTCACTTCAACTGTAAACATATTCTTCATGAAATATGACTCCGGAGAGTCTTCATATAAACCAGAAATATCAATCACGTCTGTTGGACTGTGAAAAGCCTAGAACCTACTTTAACTTTCTTGCTGTCCGAAGTGCTTGGTTCATGAGCTGCTTGTTTCATTGTGAATTTTTCAGAATTTTTTTTTCATGTAAAACAACAAATTTTATTCCCAAACACGCGGTGGGCCGAAGACATCTAGAAAACTATCCACGTAGATCTGATTATGATTGGCTAGTTATTTTAAGGTTTGTGACGGCATCTTTTTCCACATACTACAACAAATGGGCCCGAAAAATTAGTGGACAGGCAATATAGCGTCTAGTTTATAGGTAGTGAGAAAAACCTTCCTGGAAAAAATAAAATCCGGGGGCCTGGCCCCCAGCTGGTCTGGTATACATCACACCAGTTTGCTAATCAGAGCGCTGACAGATGTAAACTAGGAACATTAGGACAATCTTTGCCAGGCAACTTTAATCAGAACATAGCTTTCTTTAATGATGATATTTGAAAGCTCAAAATGACAAAAACCCCACTCACAAGGTGCCTTCATGCGACATAAGAACGTCTGCCATAAACCATCCTGCCCTCTGCATCTGTCTTGCCTACACGCACTCCTAACACCAGCCCGAGATTTTATTATTTTCATACTGCCACATAGCTTTCTGACAAAGGACAGCACAAACAGTGGATCTGAAAGCAAAACTTTCAACAAACAAACCCACATAAATAATTCACTCCTGGGCAATAAATAAAGATATTTAAAAACTCGTAGCCTAGGCTTATACAAACTATTTCTTCATTAAATTCACCACTACAGACAAACAAAGGATACCATCCTTCCAACAGCTGGTTCGCTGATACAATAACTAATTCCAAGGGCTTCAATATTGAACTCCCTCATCTTATAGCTGGGCCACTGCGAACAGCGTTCACACCTGGCATGCCAGAAAGTCCCTTGGTCCCTTGCCCACTGTCCCACCTCATATATTTTCATCTAAGGTGTCCTTGAAGAATTCTCTTGCCCGTTGATAATCCTGCTCAACTTCTACCACTTCTTTCGAACTATTTCTCCATTACTGTTCTCTCCAAACTATGGTTTTTAATTTTGACCAATGTTAATTTTCTAAGAAAAAAAACGTCTCGAGCCAATTGCCCCATTTGTTCAGATCTGAAGACTGCCCAGACATCAATTTTCTTCTTAAGTATAAGAAATGGCAAAAGAGAATGTAATATACTTCACTTCTAATCCTAATAAAAAATATTAATACAATATATTTAAAAAAAAAAGAGAAATGAATGTACATTTTGAATCTGATGATAAGTGTATGTTTAATTTGTTGATAATTAGTAGGAACGAAGAATTCGCAGGTGGTATGTCAATCAACAACATTTTACAAACAAATTCTTCACTTCCCCGGTTTTGCAGCCATACGAGCAGTGAATTTCCAAATTTAATTTTGAGCGAACAAAACTTCAAAGTTTGTTTTCATTTTCTAACAAATTCCAAAGTTATGCTAAGTTTTTCTGTTAATTTTAGCACTCAGGGACTCCCCATGTAGTTCCGGGGCCCTATTATAGGAAAACCAGAATGAACCCACTGCCTACCCAAATCATTTCGTAAGAGTCGACTAATTGGAGCTTCCTTCTGAAGTCAGAGTGCATTTGCCTGAGAGGCAAGGAACTCTAGCAGTCTGCACACAATGAGTCTATCTGTCAAACGGATGCACCAACAACACCTCAGGTTCTGGAAACAGGTACTGCATTCCAGAATTGGATGAACAACCAGAACCTTTCCAACAGATGTTTGCAGCTGGTGAACGCAAGAAGAAACGAATCGCAGGTAGCTCTTTAGTTCTCACAGAGTGATGACAAAAATTTCAGCAGAAAATGGCCGAAAATGAGCCATTACACACGCATGGCTTTTACTATTACTTTACAGTAATTCACAAGACTGGAACTGCGATGATTTCAATGTAGCTTAGCCAAGTACAGAAACAATCTTTTTGTTTAGAGCACTTCCTTCTCTTACAGTAGCAAGGGGACATTATCTGTGTAAAAAAAAAAAAATCACTAGATCAGAACAGCTGACCCCTCGCTTCGCTGGTGAAAATCACCGCCTGAATCACTTTCAGAAAATCAAATTTTCATTATCATTTTCAGATTTAAAAACATCGACTAAAAACAATTTCAAGCTTCGGCCGCAGAAAGACGCATTCTGCGACCCTTTTACTTGTGGCTGGAACATTGGTATTCATGCACTCGAAAACGAAATTAGAAAATACACTGTTGAAAAAAATTTCGCTGTTAATTTTTTAAATTATGCACGTGTGGTTAGGGTAGGAAAATTAAACTAAAAGGATTTCCGCTGAGTGACTTTCCCTGAATAGTTTAATCGTACCTCCGAAAATTAGAAAATAAAACGGGGGCATGTTTTCAAAACAAAATGTACGGGACACCAAAGATCCCGATTTACAGCGCTGTTTGGGCAAAACGGAACTTCTCAAACAACGCTCACACCGTTGCTTGGGCCTTAAAGAGTTAATTCATTATATGTTAAAAATCTTCTTTAAAAGTCAAGTTCAAAACTCCTGCCGGTCTACTTCTTTAGTGGATCATAAAGACTACCACTGATTTCTGAAAGTCGCCACATAAAAGATGTATATTTTTAGGATTTTTTCCATTTTTTTGCTGATGTTGCGCCATAGGCTCTTCATACTATTTACCTAGGCATGGCTAAAGCAAGTCTCCTTCTAGTTTTTGGTGACAATCTCCACTGCTATTAATTTCTGAGCCAAGGTATAATATATAACTATTTTTTATTTGTTTATCATTTTTACCCAGCTTTACCACTTGTTTGTACTTATAACTGCCAAGTAATTGGAAGAGAGGGGGGGGGGGGGGAAGGGTTGTCAATAAATAACTCACAAATGGTTGTTAAAAAAAACTTCAAGATGATAACAACTTGAAAACTGTTTATTTTTTTACACATACACTAAACCCTTTTTTTTCCAACATAATTTTCCCCCAATACCCGATGCCTTGTCCACTGATTTATCAGTCCTCCTAAACCTGCGTCATTCGCAAAATGTCTTCCACCAAATGGGTTTTCACTGGACAAAAAGGTGGGAACTACTATGGCTAAGTCGGGGCTGTAAGTTTGGGTGTTCCAGAAGTACCCAACCTTTGTGAGAGACATTTCACGAATGATGCTGAAGTTGATTGTGAAGTGAAATTGGGTT